GTTTGAATTTGAGTATCTTTTTATGTATCTTCCCTCAGCAAAAAAATAAAATGAAAATGGTACAAACGGTTGGAAATAAAGTGAACACTACGCTTCCCATAATAACAGTTAATTAGTTTTAAAAGTACAACATTTAAACAGCGGAAGTACAATTATTTTATGATATAGTATATTTTATCATTAAAACAAAGCTTAAATTGAATACATAATTTATAATTTCAATTTCAAATGATCGTTTTGATCAAAAAGTAACAATAAATTATATTGTTCGTATTTTAGAGCAGACTTCTTGATCTGTGGTTTGATGCACAACATCGTCATCAACCGTGGTCGTTACAATCAAGAATTGAACTCATCAATATCTCTCTATGTACTCATAAATTTCCTTCGACAACATACCGAATACCAAGATCAATTTTAAAATATTATCAATTTAAAGCAAATGAGTTAAGATGTGTTCTTTTATTTGGTTTTTCGTCATTTTGCATGTATTTACCAAAGAAATATTGTCGACATTTTTTATTACTTGTAATTGCGGCACATCTTTGCGAATCAAAAGCCATTACTTCTGAGCAATTATCACAAATCAAGATTTTAACAAGTCAATTTATTTATCAATTTCCGTTGCTTTATGGTGATCGACAAAATGTCATGTCAGTCCATTCGATTATACATTTGCCTGAATCAATCAGAGATTTTGGTGGTGTTTACAATTATTCGACTTTTAATTTTGAAAGTTACCTAGGTTAGTTAAACGAATGGATATATAAGACATTTTTTACTAAATGTATGTTTGAAAACACCACTCAAACGAGTTGGAACAAAAGTATGGTAGGCAGGGGGGTATAGAAAAAAATAAACCAGAATAGTTGATATTTATTACTTATTGGAAACACATTATCGATTAATAGAAGTAGAGCTGAGTCGAGAGATAGTCTCATTATATTAATGGTCGCTCGTATAACTTTTTTGATATATTAAAAAAAAGAAGTTTCTAAAGAAATTTGTTGTATTGCAAAAAAAACCTTTGTCTTATATATGAAGTACCTAAATATTTAAACTAATAATTTCTTCCTATTCTTGCCGAAGTCGACTAGAGTAGTTATAATAAAATTGTATGTCTTCCTTTAAATAATTGTTAGTCAATCG